ACACACACACACACACACAGAGGCTCATTTGCAAAGCAATGTGGAGAAGTAACAAGCGGTGAAATTACGAAGAACGAAAAAAAAAAAGAAAAAAAAAAAAAAGAAAAAGAAAAGGAGCAGCAAAATGTGAAGAAAAAGAAGGAGAAATTGTAACGCAGGGAACACGAAAATAGCTTAAAAGAGATTACGATGGAAGATTGCTGGATTGCTGGAGAAAGATACAACGGATGGATGACAGAAGAAAGGTGAACCTCCCTGATTAAAGGGTCTGGCGGGAAAGGGGCGCGTGACGAAAGGGGAAACGAAAGGCTTGGGGTAGAGACGTATTAAGGTGGCTACGAGAATGGGGCAGCGGTGGAGGCGAAACGGGCAGCAAAGAGGACGAGGAATAACAGGAGGAGAATATAGCCATGGAAGGGAAAAGAGGTTGTTAGCGGTGGTGGTAGTGGTGGCAGCGATGGCAATGGTGGTGGCACTGGCGGCGGCGGCGGCGGTGGCGGCGTCGGTGGTAGAGGCAGTGTAATGGGAATGGTGGTGATGGCGATGGCGACAACAACAGCGGCAGCAATAATGGTGATGGAGGTGGTGGTGGCGTCAATGTTGGCGGTGGTGGTGGCGACGAAGGTGGTGGAGGAGAAAGAGAAAGAGGAGGTGGAGGCCAGTGTATGGCAGCGGGTGCACGTTCGGCCTCTACATGCGAATACGTAAGATACTACGAGAGAGAGAAAAAGCGCCTATACGTGCGCACGAGGGAAAGAGATGGTAAGTGAGAGTAAAGGGTAGAAAGAGAAAAGAAGAAAGGAGAAGAAGAAGAAGAGGAGGAGGTCTCCGTGTCGACATATATGCGATGAGAACGCGCGTCTCCTGACTCAGTGCTTGACAAGCTAGCAAGCTCTTAGGATTCATCGAGTTTTACCGGCACAACACGACACAACACGCTTCGACCAGCTGCCTGCCGCTGTCACGCGAGTTTCGCTTCTTCTCTTCTGTTACTGTTACTGTCTTCTTCTTCACGGACTCCTCTTCCTTCCGAATTCGTTTTTTCGCTCGTTTTCGCCGCCTCTTTACCAACCGATCCCTTCTCGATCACGACCAGAGGAGATCCAGCTCTGGTCGTTTCCATTTTCCACGATAGATTGTTAAGATTATTTTTCGGAAGGAGAAACGGAGAGGAGAAAGGGGGAATATTTGTAAAAAGAAACGAAAAGAAAGAAACGGAAAGGAAAGAAAGAAAAGAACAAAAGAACGAAATATCGGAAATCGATCGTTCGGGTAGGAAGTAAAAAAGTGAAACGAACGAAAATCAGCGGCTTATTAACTCATTATTGGTGACATGACGCCCAAGATACGTTTAAAAAGATGCACAGTGCATCGGTAAAGAGTGTGTTGCTAGCGCGCACATGTCTAGATTAAAGTTCGCGCGTGAACCAGAGGTCACGAGGGTTCACCGGATCATTCCGTTCCAAAAAGGATACGGAAGAAATCCGATCGTTACGCGGCCAGTGAATATCGGCCTCGAGTGCAATGTGGTTTTTAATACATCTTGGTGCTTCTAGTGTGTAACTATGGTAAATGATATTCTCAGTGATCGCTATAAACAGAAGTAACGGATTGAAGTATAAAATAGGATTCATCGATCATTTTTTGCCGTTGCCCGTACCGTACCGTACCGTACCGTACCGTCGATAGAAATATTTTTAGTATATCTTTCGGTTTCATAACTGTTCGACGAGTTCGACTCTGCTGTTTGAAATTACGAAAGAAAGTGCACCAACTTCCGGTGAAACTTAGCTCGGTTCAGGCTGGCAGGCACCGAGAGAAGAAGGAGAAAACGAATCGAAACTGGATCGTGTGGATCACGATCGCGATCGCGATCGATTCTGTTGCACTGTGCCTGAGCACCGAGCGATGTGTCGACTGATCGACACGTTGGCCAGAACGAGTTGCGCGCTGTCCTCTGCGGAAGGAAGTTTTTGGTAAGAGTGTGTCTCGGCTTTTGCAAAATCAAAAGAATAGCATCGTCGAATAAACAACGGAAGAAGTTCTTTTCACGGAAGCGAGTAGCGAAGAAGGAGGAGGAGCTGGAGCAAGAGAAAGAGGAGAAAGGGGAGGAAGAGGGAAACGAAGAGGAAGAGGAGGAGGAGGAGGCGGAGGGGAAGCAGAGGCAGAAGGCAGCAGCGGAGGTGGTGGTTGTGGTAGTGGTATTGGCGGCAGCGGTGGAGGAAGAGGAGGAAGAGGAAGAGGAAGAGGAGGAGGAGGAGGAGGAGGAGGAGGAAGAAGCAGAGAAGAAGGAGAAAGGGGAGGAGGACGACGACGACGACGACGAGAAGAAGGAGGAAGTGGAGGAGGTGGAGGTGGGGGTGGAGGAGGCGGAGGGGGAGGGGGAGGCGGGGGAGGAAGCGGCGACGGTGGAGGAGGAAGAAGAAGAAGAAGAGGAAGAAGAAGAAGAGGAAGAAGAAGAAAAGGAGGAAGAAGAAGAGGAAGAGGAAGAGGAAGAAGGAAAAACGGACAATTCATACGAATTCTTGATCCGTGCGAGATAAAAGAGACGGAAGAAAGGGGCGAAGAAGGGCGAGGCACCCTTGCGGAGGAAAAAGGATCGGTGAAAAAATCGGCGAAGCGTAGCGATGAAGTCAAATATTTGATCGCTCGCTTCGCGAGGGAAACCGATCGTAACTGATCCGACTAAGAACGACCTTGAGCAAGATGGTCAGGGGGGCGCTGTTACTACTCTTGCTACTCCTCTTTGGTGCCTTCGACGTTCCTGGCATCGAGAGAGTTCGTATCAGATATCTAGCGAAGGCTGGCAACACCTGTAACGCTTGTAGGATGCACGAGGAGATCAGGGCCCTCAGTCTCGAAGCAATCAAGGAACAAATTTTGAACAAGCTCGGCTTGAAACAAGCCCCGAACATGACAGGCAGAGCTCTGCCAAGAATCCCGCCGATTTCGAAGTTGATGGATATGTATGGAATGCAAGCCGATCAACCTCAACCTCTCGAGCCCGGTATCTCTCATCACGAGGAGATCGACGAATACGCTGCCAAAACAGAGAGCGTCTTCGCCCTGGCGCAACCTCGTAAGTTTCAAATCCTTTTTCCATCTTTTCAGCAAGGAAGCAGGCAACGCTCTTCCTATCAGTTCGATAATAATACCTACGAGTCTACGGCGTACCTCGTTACGCGTAATTGACAAACGATTCTATTACGTTAAAAAAAAAAAAAAAAAAAAAAAAAAAAAAAAAAAAAGAGAGAAAAAGAAGGAGTTTGCTACTCCACTCTGCAAAGTTATTTTAAGAGTTACAATTTCAATGGTCATGCGTTCCACGTTGCAGCTGCTACATTTTTCCTTGGCAACATTAACCAAGTTAACCTTTCCAACCCATCGAGCCATTTATTTTATTTTATCTGTAATCGTGTACGCTGTAATTTGTTACATTGTAGTTTAAATTGAAACGTACCACGTTACGAACGTTTGCTCGATTTAAACGGCAAAGAGGCAAAAAATGATGCAACTTGCAGCCATGACCATTTATTTATTAACGCGGTGAAGCGAGCAAAACTCTTAACGAGATTAGCTTTCTTCGCCGGGGCTAAAAGTGTCACAGTCGTTCAACGAATTGCACGATTCGCATCGCTTACTTTAAATTCGCTCGATCGTTTCTCCTCGAGTAGAAAAATATTTCAGGTTCCTCCTCCTCCTCCTCCTCCTCCTCGTCGCTTGTTCTGCTTCTGCCGTCAACTGAAACCGGGCGATGCTGGGGCATCGATTTGAAATTCGAGCTTGCCTTTCGGCAACCTCCAGCACGGTTGAACTTTCCTTTAGGATTTTCACAGCAACGTCTCGATTCACGGTTCAAATCCTCTATTGTGTTGTATATCTATTCGGGAAAATATCGTAGTAACAATAATCCGTAAATGTTCAAATAATTTCTCGCGAGCCATCGTAATATATGAAGCATATTCACAAAAAGTTGCAAAATACGCGCGTAGAAAAGAAACGTACGGATTAAAGGAACGCAAACGGAGAGAGGAAGAATTCTCTCGAGGCGAAAATATCTTCACTGTTTCGAACGTAATAATTACGTTAAAGCAGTAACCTGTGTTTAGGATTGTTCCTCCTTATACGTATGCACACATCATCATCCTCTTTCTCTCTCTCGTTCTCCGAAACAGATCGGCGGCTCCTTCTCCCTCAAAAAATCAAACGTCCGATCGAGAGGCGCGCGAAGCCGATCATTTTAGAGCGATTTTAAATTTTAATGGCCGATTTGCATACGATCGCCGGTTGACACGACTCGTTTGAAATACAACATGCTATCTTCCTGGCACGTTCTTAGGTGGCCCGTATCTTGTGATTACAGGTGCTTGCGAGAGCTTTTTAACCGAAAGTTGTTCCATTACCCGCGTAATTATGGGGCCATTGTATCAGTAGACGATCACTTTCGACAGAAATCACTATGTACTTACTTTGTCGGCTGGCTGCGGCTGCTATTACGTGACCGAATTTTTGCCTGGATAACAGTAGAAATAAGCCGACACGTTTGTTAATTTGTTCCTTGAAAGCACCATGACATAACAAGTATCTTTTCAGCATCGGATCGCAGTATCCAGACGATAGTATCCTCGCTATCCTACCTCGTAATTATTGGCTCGCTTCATTTGAATTTAATCTTTAAACATAGTAATAACACGAACGTACGACATCATCATCGGAGATGATAGTGTTGCGAGTTGCGTGGTTTCGCGAGAGCTTGAATTTTCTATGTATATCTGTGTATCTAGTTCTCAGAAGTATCGATAACGTATCGTTTCACAACTGGCTTCACTGCGATGTGAAATTTCCGAGCTACAAATTTGCACGGAATTCTTAGAATTCTCGGGTGAATCTCAGACGACTGACAGGTTACACCGCTACACTGTAATAATTCGCGGCAACAGAGTCTCTTCGAGATTAATATTCAGTGTTGGAAAGGACTTCAGTGTTGCAGCTAAAAAAAAAAAATGTCTTCATTTCGAAAGTTACGTCTTTCGTTATCGGGGGAGATTAGTCTGTTGAAACGATCTCAATAAGAATATACAACGAAATGATTGATAGGTTCGTTATATCGTGAAAGACAAATATCTGAGGCAAGTGGTAGATGTATTTTGAAGTGTGTATGTGTGTGTGTGTGTGACTTGGTTTGCAAAGACGGCTCTGTTCTCTGGCAGTGCGAGAACAGAAAAGAAGCTAGTGACGAGAAACACGGGTGTATGGGACAGGAGAGATGGTATCGTGGCTGGTGCCGATCCCGATGCCAAACCAGTATCTAATTCGTAGAGGGTTATCGCCTTAGGCCACCTATATCGCTCTTCACGAACCGTCTGAAAGTCGATCGCGCAGGAGGCAATCGCGCGATCTTCACTATTCGCCTGTGCCAGCTTCTTCGTTTTCCCTTTTCGTTTCTTTCGTTTCTCATTTTTGCCT